AAATTATTGAAACTAGAAGGCTGATTGGTAATGCTTAGAATCCTGGGTTCTATCCTCGGACAAGGCAGGTTGACTCAGCCATTTATATCTTCAGTGGCGAGATAAAATGAGAACCAAGTGAGCTTTGACACTAAATAATAGGCATTTTTATTTTATTTTATACCTGGCGTTGAACTGCTGACTCAATTCTAAGTTTGCGGCTATCAAAGTTTAACTCCATAATCTTGTAATTTTGTACACAACCGGGAAGACGAGGTGACTCTTCGATCAATCAATGTGACAGACAAGGATTTTTCGATCCAAATTTGAATTACAATTCTAGCACATATTGGCGTTAAATGGAGAGGAAAAGCAAATAAACCTTCTACAATTAACCCAAAGGCAGGGGGATTCAAACCCATAACACTGAGGATATTTTACTTCAGCACTGAGATCGGTTCAAGACGGAAGCGAAATTCGTATGAAAAAATTAAACGCTGGATTTAGAACCTGGACATGCTCAAACTCCTGAGCCTCCCCGGCTCAAACTACTCAGCCATGCTTTGCCGACCGTCCAAGAAGAACATCTGTTGCATCCCAGAGTTCAAGGTCAAGAAAACTATAATTGGAACAGTACAAGACTTGATACTTGACAATTATTTGACTCTCAATGGGTTATAGTGCTGATGAGTTTAGTTTAGTTTTCAAATTATTGCTCTGCTAACTCCAAAATTTTTTTATGTACTACATATAACCAGGTTAAGTTTCGTAAAAAGCAACAGTCATTAAAAATCTTAAACATTTAGCCTTTCAAAGCATCAGTTATTAACAATATTGATTTTTAATTGAAAAAGAATGCGTTAAATTTATTTAGAATTTAAAATGATGTTATGTAGCTGAAAAGTTAGCTTAATATGTATATTATATCATTACACCTTCAATGTTAAGGCAAAAATAACTTTCAAAGTAAATTGCAAAGCCTAATTAATAAACTGATTCAAATCTTAAGCACGTTTCATGATGAAATAATAAAAATTCTAATCAAGTGTTTTCGTCAATTTATTATACTTTCAATACATAAATGTTTTTAGCTTATTTTTGAAAAATCATTTCGAAAATAATAAAAATTCAGCTCCGCATCATTGAAAAGGTCATCATATGCCTTTGTAAGTACTCCATAAAAAAGGAAATATTCTTGTTAGCTAATAAAGCAAGTACAGCGTCGATCTTCTTATTTATTAATTATTATGTTTACAAGAACAAAACTTATTTGTATTCACCTCCTAAATAATTTATCCCATTACATAAATTCAATCTTATATTTCCCATTCGAGTTGATTAAATTCTTAAAAATAAGGATTATCTGTTTGTTAAAAAGCTTCTCAGATGAATAATAAATATTTTAATTTGATATTATCGGTATTGCTGAATTCAAAAATGTGACATTATTTTTTGATAACGGAAAACTGATTTAAAACTTATTCATGTATTAATGTAAATAATGCTCACTCTATTTAAATTTTAATAGGTGAATGAACAATTTTCCTTTTTTTATTAAAAGAGGATTATTTTTAATTATCCGAATTAAAGTTGAAACAAATAATAAATAAATGGAATATGCATTTTCTTTTTAAATTTAGTTGTGATAAACATAATTCCTTTATTTTGATGATTATAATTTCGGTGACATTCTTATGCACTGTTAGAATTTTCAATGTAAAATTACGGTAAAATATCTGGCAGTAGTATATCTATCTGATTTGACATAAAGTTTCAAGTTAGGGACATTTCTTGACCTTTACATGTTTTAAACCGTTTGGAACTTGTATTGTAAAAACTGCCACGAATAAAATCTAACCAGTTTTGTAATGATTTAATACTAACGCCGTTTCAAAATGAATTTAAACTGGACACTGTAGTTAGGCAATGATAGGATTTTCCTAAACAAATTGATAATAGAGTTATATAGTGATTGTTTAGCATTTTTTTCAAATGAACCATGGAATGGGGAATTATTATTTTATCTAGTGAGATGAGAAATACTAGACATTTTTGCGAATTACTGCTCCATATTGTTTCCAGCTTAACAAGGGATTTCGAATTCCAATTGGTCACTAATGTAATAGTGCTGGACACTAGATACTCCTCCTATGTTAGTTGAATGGAGGGAATATTATGGTGTCAACACCGGGATTCAAACCCTTGTTAAGCCGGTCATGATTGACGTATTTTCCTTACGACTTAAAATTTTTTGCAACTTGAAATTTTCAACTTAAAATTCTGGGCAATTTCATACTACCCAGAACGTTAGAAACTTACTGGCTTCATGAGATGTTCACCAAATACTTATTACTATAAGATTAAAAGGCATTCGTTCACGGAAAATAAAAGTACGAATTCATTATCATTATCACATGGCTTAGCTTCCAATTTTCGAAGAACGTGCTCTCAATTCTTATTTGCTGGGTGTCGAGAAGGGAAGGATAAAAGCTTAATTGTCGAACCCGATTTGATGAAAACAAATGCCGTTTCTCACAGTTAATAATTTGAATATCATATTTTTATTGTTACTTGACTATTTTGTTGAATATGTTTCTGAGAAATTTCTAACAGTGTGAATTATAAGCAGAATGTAATTGTCAAAAGCTGTCATTTCCCTTACGGTATAGGTATATCAAAAAATTCTATTGAAGTATATAAATAATAATATATATTTCTATACATTATATAAGTTTCCGCAGAAGAGTATTAGAGAATATTTTTATTTTGTTTACAAAGAAATACTCCGCACTTTGATAAAAATCCCAGTCTATATTGCATATTATTCATTCAATTTAATATAAAATTAACAAATAAAAAATAAAGTTATTCTCCAAATCAACACTACTTTAAAATATTGCAAATACTTTATCTTTTAAGAAGTTACGTAAAATTAAAAAAAGACTCATTTAATTAACTAGAAGTCATGTGTTATTGAAAAATTTTGAATTAAATATATGTTATACACGTGTATAGTAATATAAGATAATTATATAATAAGTCATGTTAAATTTTTCAAAGTACAAATAAATATTCCTTAAAATTAAGTTTAAAACTCTAAAATTTTTAAACTTAAATAAAAAAAGAGCTCTACTTTGAGATATCCCAAACTATATATACAGAACAAAATTTCAAAATATGCCAAGAATAAGTCATGTATTTTATCAATCATGTTGTTTTAAACAATGCATTATTCAAGTATACAATGAAATGCATTAACTACCACTAGGGCAAAACATAATGAAAGTGAAGAATTTAATATTTATATTTTGCCTTAAACTGAATTGAATATTAGAATATATATAAATATAAATATATACATATATATATATATATGNATTTCTTTCAACAAAAATATATTAATTTTAAGCTTATTTAAATTATTATTTTAATGTTAATCAGCAGCGTTAACCCGATTTAAAGCTAGGTTTCTTCGAAAACAGTAAATAATTTTTCGTTAACATATTTCTTTTTGAAAAATATATAATTATCGAACTCGTTGAAATAAATTTTTTTTTCTAATCCGTAAGTCAATAAAGATTTCAAAATTTTTCACCTTATATTTTTTAAAATAAAGTACAATAATTCTTGTACAGTGGAAAATTATAAAAATCATTTTAAAAATCATTTTTTTAATGGAAAATATAAGTTATAAGCTGTTTCTTGTACTAGTTATATGAAAATATAACAAAGCTTCCGTTCCAACAACTGTGAAGTCTTTCTCAATTCGTGAAATAGTTCGGATATTTATGTATGTAGATAAATTTTAAAAAATAAATTTTTTACAGATAAATAATAATTATACTTGAATTTAAATTTTTAATGGTCAAGGGAAAACTTTTAATATGAAATAGCTAAATATCTAATTTATTTATTTCTTGTTTAAAGTTTTTTATAGGTATATCAATTTAGATTGGTTTTGATTTTCAAAGAAAATGCAATACAGAATAGTCACGAAAATTTATAAAAGACTTAAAATATTTTTGAATAGTAAAATAGTAATGACTAAATAAAAAAATTCTTAAATAAGTTTCCAGAATGATTCTAGAAAGAGAAAAAAATATAGTCAAAACCACCAGAATGTGGTAAAATTTGTCCTGGTTTTGTTTCTATTAGTGCACCAAAACTTTAGGTAATTTTTAGTGAAGCGCTTTGGTAACGATTTCGGTAAAATTTTTAGAAAAATATGGTTTTATAATATGTGGCATAATTTGTTAAGCGTGGCAAAATTTAATCATTTTATTATGACTCCATAGAAAATCTTATAGAAATTATTTATTCTGTTAAATTTAATTTTCAGTTTTGCAATTTTTACTAAATGCGAGATGAAATGAACTATGGCTTTAAAAATCAAAAGTTTTGATGAACCATTTCCCTATGAAAGGAAAAAAATATTAAACGAATGGTTTAATAACCATTTCTGATTGTTTTCTTATACAGAGTTATGATTGTTATATCCAAAAATGCCATTGCCACACAGTACGGTGATTTTACCAGATTCCTGTGTTCTCTGAGCAGCTTTCTCTTCAAGAGAATTGTTAACGATTGTGACTTCGAATTAAGACATACAATTGATTGTTATAAATTTCCAACGAATTTAATTTGAAATTCATGCCTTACAATTTTTCATTTGTTACATGCTTTAGTAACAATAGGTCAATAATAATCATAGAAAAACAATCAACATTTAATTCCGTCCCATTGTATTGAAATAAACTCAGTCTTCCACTTTAGATTTTTGAAAGAAAGTTACACTCTTAAAGTTACGTGCTATCCATATTTCTTTATTTATTTAAGTTACAGTTTTTGAATACAATTTATTTTGCCAACATAAAGAATCAAATGAAGACCTTTTTTCTAGGTTGCGTTGGACTTTTATAATAATAGATGGATTATACTAAAACTGATAATCTAAGAATTTATAAGCAGTTAAATATTTTATTATCACAAAATGAAACAATAATAGAAAAAGTAATAGATCATTTTCACAGAAATAAAAATTTTATTAGACAAACTAATTATTTGAAAGAAATTAAATTTGGTGAATATTGTATGCGTGAACTAAAACATTTGTTAAAAAATAATACTGCATGGCTCAAATGAAATTAATAAAGTTATAAATCTTATTTTTACAGCACAATGTAAATTACAAAGTACACAATTCCTTGAGAAATTGTTATGTTTGGCACAATGCTTATTTACAGAAGATAAATAATTGTTTAATTATTTTACAGATTTATTTACAATTTTATAACTATGTTTTTGCAAAAACGCAAAATAATCATTTAAGCAATAGGACTCATCTTAATAACTATTTCTGAATCCATTCTTGATCATCTTTTGTCTATTTTCTTCGAAAATGCTGTCAAACATTATAAAGTCAAAATGCTCTGACCAGCCTTCTGAGAGCGATTTATTAACAATGTAATTATTTTTGTTACCGTGGATAGTCATGCAATTTTGTTAAAATACAGAGCAAAAGTAGTAATAACTTGATGCTGTGAGTTTCGAGGTAACTTGCTCCACTCTTCTCATCATTTGAATCTGAAAAATATAATAAGTATTTTAAATAATGTTGAAATTATTTACAACAAAATTTCTCAAATTTTATTTTTCTATGTTCTACCTTTTATATATTATTCAAATTAATAATTACTTATATTCTTTATTAAAAAAATAAAATACTATTTTCATATTATAAAATGACTGCCCCGAAATCACAAAATGCTTGATAAAGACATACAAAGCGAAATTGGCATTTTTAAAATAATAATAATTTCTAAAAAATTCCAAAATTAATAAATATAAACTTAACATAAAACGAATATATTTAGCATGAAATAAGTTGCTTAAGTATAAAAGTCATTTTCCTCAAATAAAACAGCTAATTTTCAGTCGAAACCAATTTACTGAGTTTTACCAGAAGCCACTGTTATTCATTGTTTAAAACCAATACCCCTAAACTGCTTAAATACCGAATTAAGCAAGGGTAAACCCAACAATTTGAAATTTGAAAAAATCACTACCAAGGAACATTTAAGGACAACAGAAGAAATAATTAGAGTGGAAATATTTTTAAATTTTTTTAACATTGTAATAAGAAAATTTTTAATATTGGCGTTTGGCTGATTCTTTTTTTACTGACGGCAATAAACGATTGCTACAGCTGCGTTCCAGTATGCGTCTACGATCTTAGCAAGAGGGAATCCACTTAAAAGACCACGAAAAAGCAAAATATTGTTTTAGAAAATATTTTAACAGTTTAAACTGTTGTATACTAACGAGGAATAATAATTATAAATTTTTCTCCAGGAATTGTTTTTAAAATACATCAAAAGGAGCGCAATTCATGCAATCTGGAAATTTTTTCAAATTGTGCTTTTCAATTCTGTTAGCTCATAAAGTTTCACTTTCTTGTTCGATTTGATGATGGGGTTTTTTGGTTTTTGTTTGCGCTTGACTCTAGTATTTGATTCCCACTTGAACTTCTCTAATACTACTTTCAAAAAGATTATTCTGCGGACATAGAATGGTATAACAGATTCTAAGTTTTCTGCATAATTTATAACTCCTTATTCTCAGGCTCTAGCTGATAAATATACAGATTTTTCAAATCTGAATCAGAAAATCTTTCTAGCAAGAACATTATTTTTTGAATCGTTATGCATTTCTTAGACAAGAAGAAAGCAAAGAGAAAGCAAAATTTGTAGATGAGACACATAAAAAACGATCCCAGTTTTCATTAACTCTCTCTGTAACAACAGATTTATCCCAGATGCATAGTAAATCACAATATAAAAGGAAAAACTATGAATATCAAGAATCTGTACAGTATCATTGCTAGGATCATATTGAAACATCCTCTTATAACTCTATCATTTTTTTCAAATAAATAAAACAAAAAGTATTTGAGCCATATGAAGGCTATCGTCACATTAGAATAAATTTCGTTTCAATACATAGAATTTCAATAGAAGAGAAAAACAATGAATATGAAAAAGTACCAATTTCTAATTATTCTGTCATTCAGTCATCAGCCATATTCAAATTTATGTCAAAAGAAGTTGGATCTAAACACTTACATCATGCCTATTATCATGCACAACATCATTATTTACCTTCAATTAGAATCATAATACCAACTTAATGAAATGCCTATTACATAGCCCTGTGTATGACTTGAAATCTAAAAGTAGAATCCTTAACACGACACGCCAACTTTCCAAAAAGGGAACATTAGGTTCAAACTAATATTTTCACTTTAAAGTTTAAAAAAAATTGAATCAGATGCCTAATAAAAATATTAAATCTCAAAAATTCAGAATCCAAAAAATATTGTATTTTTGATCACTACAATGTCTGGTGTAGTCGGAATCTGAAATATATAGTCCAACTTTCTAAGGAATGCAATTTTTTACGACATATTATATACCCAAAGCTTCTATAGTGTTAAAATGCAACATTTTAATTTGGTGTAATCATTATCGAGAACTCAAAGTTTAATGTCCGATATTGTAATTTTAAGTAATTATATACTTTATTTTAATTCTTTAAAAAAATCACGCATAAAAAATGAAATTTTTTTTTTTATGAAATTAAAATTAACCCATTAAGAATCTAAAATTTCTTTCATCACATTCAAAATTTCTTACACTCCTACAAAAGTCAACTTAAAGTTAAGTCTTATTTTTGCTATTTTGAATTATAATACTAAGCAAGTTTTCTTACATGTAATGTTTAATAATATTGCAGTTTGTGATGAATCTACTAATCATGCAATCAGGTTTAAGGAGGTTTTATATTCAAGGTATTACATATAATTTGTGTTCCATTTTAAGAATGAAGATTTATAAGATTGAAAAATAATCAAACCTTATCACTTAAAAAAATAAATAGTGTCAAATTAAAATAAATAATAATAAAAATCAATTGTTTTTATTCAGAATAAATAAAATATTTATTAAGTTTAATAATAAATGAAAGAGCAGAAAATGCATTCGGTACATGAATTTTAAAGAGATTTCATTATGAATTTAATTTAGATTGAGTATTCTTGTCCAAGATTCAAAAGATCAATGGAAATGAAAACTCTTCTTCACTGTAATATGAACAATTTCGTATTTTGTAGCCTCCATTTTTCAAAGTATTATCTGTTAGTGCTCATTGCTTAGGTTTTTCTTAATATTTGAAATTATTTAGGTTTTTACTTTTATGCATCACAATTTTTTATTTAAATTATCGAGCATAAACGTCTTTGAATGTAATTTTTGATGTAAGGATTACATTTAATTTTTAAGATCAGACAGACTTGCAACATATTAAAAAATATTTAGTTAAACGTCTTGAAAATTAAGTTATGAATCAAATATATGCTGTAACTAAATTTCTATATGGCGTGATAATTACTAAAAAGAGCAGCAATAAATTTTTAATGGCCAATTATTAAGTTTTGGTCTTGTGAAATTAAACTTTGTTTATAAATGGAATTCAATTAATAAAATGAGATCCATAATACTCTTTGTGCATTGCGTAAGAATCTCATTTAGTGATATACCCCGGGGAAATATATTCAAGTAAAAACATTTCTTTTAAAGAACCTCAGAAAATCAATAAGCAATTAATTTTATAAAATCTATACAGAAAAATAAATTTTCGCCTTCAAGCTGCAATCTACTACTTTTTAATTATCAAACATTAATTTGATATTGATCACAACCAAAAAAAATAGTTTCCATTCCATTTCTAATTTCTTATTATCAATATTAGTTGAACGATTTCTTAAACAATGAATGTTTTAAGTTGAGAAAATATGAAACAATAACATTTTGGTTTCTATCTATTTCTTTTCGGAAACGGGAATTACAATATTTTTATCAATAGAGATCTTTAGAAAATCAGCATTATTAGCAATTAATGAGAGGTTAAAAATGTGAGGTTTTCTTCAAATTAATCTTCAGCATTTTTGAAATTTATATTTATACTTATAGCTAATTATAGTTACATTTATAATTTTTCTAGCTTTTAAAAATACATACTCTAAGAAAGAAAGTTTTTATTTATTTATATTAAGCTATATTAAGGCTAATTTTTATACTTTTTCAAGTAAAAAAATTTTTACCTCAGAGTTTTTCTGGATTTACTTTTAATTTTCTCTAATGTGCTCAAAAGAAATAGAATATCTCAAAAATGGAATATCATTTGGAATAATATTCTGAAACAAATTAAGATAAAAGCAGTAAATACTTAAAATGCTATCTACAATAATACTAGCACAGATAAAAGGAGAGAGTTAGATGAAACCTACTATGTAGATAAAACCAAGACATGGGATTTTGGAGAAAATATCTGTTTGTTATTGATTAAAAGTGTGCAAGTAGTAGGATACTATTAGAAGATAAAAGAAAATCAAAGAAGGTTATTTTTGACAAATTGGACTAGAAACATATAGATTTTACTCCGCTAATTTAATTATGTAGTTTTAAATTTTTTGAAATTTGGTTTTATGTGAATCAACACCTCATTACGTTTCTTTTAATCTTTTATGTTTTAATTAAATCCAAGTCAGAAAAAAAAATCCTCGTTTTAGTTTACTTTAAAATAACAATTTGTTTATTCACCTATCCATAGTTCTTTTTCAGTACATAATTTTTATTTTTTAAGCTTAATATACATTTTGTCACTTAAATAAAAACTTAAATAATTTTACTCACTGGCATTCTTAAGATAGAACAAGGAAATTTAAAGACTTTTCCTTTCCTTAAAAGTAAAAATCTAGACAATAAGGTTACGTTACTTGTCGATATTTTTCAAATTCATTTTCTTAAATTAAATTACGAAAAACATTTTTTTCAGATATAAATACATTTTTCTTTTGAAACACAAAAAAACAAAGAAACTTAGTCTAATAGTCCCTTATCAAAGACAACTTTTGAGAAGTTCTGCACTGTAAAAAATTCCGTATCAAATTATGGAAAATATGAGAGCACATAGGGTGCCCGTGCTTTTTACCGTACTTTACGGAACAAAAAAATCTGATACACAGTAATTTTTATTGTAAAATCATTGAATCAATGTAGTTAAATAATTATTACTACAAAATTTACGTTATAAAATTCATGGTAGAAATAAATTTTACGTTAAAACTAATTTTACTGTTCATGCACCCAGGGTGCCGGTAGATTTTATTTTAATATGAACCAGTATTTGCAGTAGGAAGAAAAGAATTTGAATTGGATATTTTGAGAATTAAAAAATCTCCGGGATAAAATTGCAATTAAACTATCTAACAACATTTTAAACTTTTAAATGCATCAATAAGTTATAAAATCTAACTTTCAATAGATTTTGACCGCTAAATTTCGTTTTGTTTGATCATTCATCATTTATACTTTGTGATCAATTGGTGTTTTTAAAAGAAATTCAAAAATATATTAATTCAAATTTCTTACTATTGTATGTACAATTGGGAACTTAATACTAAAAAGAACCCCGGGGGCATTTTATCTGCTGGGCAAAAATTTTGTCATATTTAAAAATTCAAGAAATTTTACACCTTTTAGGAAACAATATGTCATATAAAAATACCGATAATGTTTCTTAAATAACACTTAAAAGTTTATTAATTGTAAACATGCTATAAAAATTGCTGTTTATATTTTTGAATGCTACTAAAGATGTCATTTTATAAAATTTTTAATTTTAAAGTATGCCGTGTTTTTTTTATCAGCGTGATTGCATGGTTCATGATTTCATTTAAGTAATCTGTTCCTCATATTTTCAAAAATTAAAATTATTTTTTAAAATCACATAATTTTGAGACTAAAACGATAAGGTTGTTTTTTGACAAAATTTAATGCTAATCATAATGAAACTAATTTCATTGATAATTGTTACTAACGGTATACCGATATAGATTAAATAAAATTACTTACTGTTAGCATTGTTCATTTCGTCTTTTAATAATTATTTTGATAATTATTCTATTTATATTCTCATAATTTTACAATTGTAAAATGTATTTACTAATTAATCAAATAATCAAATTTATTTTTTTTTTCAAGATACAGGATAAACGACAATGTATTTTTATAATATTTATACTTTTAAAAAGTATTTTAGACTCCATAATAAATTTTCATAATAAAAAGAAAATTAAAAATTCTGCAATCGAATTTTATTTATCGTCACATTAAATAATAAAGAAAGGTGTTGACAAGTCTGCAAAATAGAAAATTCTGGATCAAATTCCTATGAAAAATACCGGAACTCAGGATGCAAGCACATATAACAGCCAAATATATTTTTTCCGTAACTCGTCACGGAACAAAAATCTCTTACACCATTATTTTTACAGTAATAATTACGGTAAAATCACTAAATCACTCTAATTAAATAAATATTGCCTTAATTGTGTGGTATAACATTTTACAAAATAGGTAAATAGGCGGTAAAAATAGGTTTTACTGTAAATATAATACTGTGTAATATTAGGTGTCGTTACTTTATACCGTTATTTGTCCCAGAATTGTTACAGTACATAGGTTATATAATTTTATTTTTCTGTCCATCAAAAATAGATAAATTTAATAATGAATTGGTTCACCACAATCATTCATTTCCTATATCACAGACTACTCATTAAAGTAAAGACAGCGAAGTTTGATAAAAATTGTAATATAAAAAAGTTTAGTTATTTACCTCCATCAAGTCCATACTTTTGTTGAGTACCTGGAGCATTAGCAGTGTCCCATCGTTCGATTTCTGTGACTAATGTTCTATATTCAGTTGTAGCAGCAACTAGAAATTACAGAAATTTTTTTCACAAAAAATACATACTGATAATAACAACATATTTTATTTGCATTTAAATAAGTATTATTTTGATAAATTTGTAAATCCGTTCGACTATTTGTTCTTTTTTTGTTTTGTTATTGACACAATGTTAAAAGAAATCATCTTTCAAATAAACAACAAGTTGCAAAATAAAGGAAGTAGTATTGAATAAAACATTTATTATATGCACAATTTACCAGCAGAAAAAAAATGTTTGATATTATTTTTTGCACTTGTGCAATATGTTAAAAAAAAACAGTTTGTAACGAGTTTTGTTCAATTGCGAAATTAGAATTTCAACTAAGGTGGCACTTAAACATTTTTGTCCGCTTGCGCCTAATTGTGGGATTGTAACTGAACTTACATGGGGGAGAGGAGGACTAGTAGGGACAATTTTTTACAAACTTATCAAAAATTCGTCTACAACATGAGTTCTTACTAATGAAGAATTTTAAGAATGATTTGAACAATTACCTACAGTCTGGTTGACATCTGAAATTACAAAGTTTATTTTCTACTTAATTTTTTTTTAAGAAAAAGATGCTTTTGCCCATACTAGCTACGCTTAGAATTGATTCCAATTTTTTTCACAAACAAAGTCTAACTATGCAGCTTTTCCGATTGCAGGCGGCTAGTAACTTTGATTTATAAAAGAATAATAAAAAAATTAATAAAAAAAAAGATGTAGTTCGTAAAATTAGAGAAATTTCAAGAACCTGATGGGGTCCTAAATAAATTTCGATTTCAAACCACAATTTTTTGTCATACAATTAATACCAATTACCCAATTATTATCTCAACATGAGATTTCAATTTTTAAAAATAGCAAAAATCAACCAATCTTATTACAAGGATTGCTAGTATAGACAAACTTGATATCTTTAAAACGTTGCATAGTAAGACCCTTATTAGTCCTTCATTACAGCTCAGAAAGGTACATCTAAAGTCAAACTGAAATGAATTTTAATTCTGAGTCTTTTTTGAGAATAAATGTTGACAGTTTTGTAAAATACTAGTATACTAGTTTTGGAAAATATATATTTTCATATCATCAAAAAAATAACGTGTCAACTTAAAATATGGATTGATATGCAGTTCTGGTAGTTACTGACGATGAACATTACTAAAGTGACAGGAGAAATGGATACTGTCATAACTATTTCTTCTCATGAGATTCGGACACGGTTCCCAGTAGAACACTGAAGTCAAGCATCACAGTCTGCGGTCAGTGTGTGGGTGGGTGACCACTTGGATCAGTCTGCGTAGGGACCGAGGGTGTGCGGTATTGATCCTGGTTAAGCTGTTCTATCGTAAAGTGCTCGACTTCGCGTTCAGGTCGCTGGGTTACTGAAGCGGGGGTGCCATCCCCTCTGCAGAGGATCAAAATTGTGATGGCATGATTTCAAATAATCCTCAGGGATGTTTCCCAGATCGTAGCTAATAACCCATTGTGCAGCTCTAGAGCGACGCAAATGAACTACGACAACAACAACAAATCTCATGAGATTTGAGAAATATTTTTTTTCAGAAAAAAAGATTCATGCTTTTGGAATAACAACATGCATCTTTTTTTTTATTTCTTTAGCATATTAATTTACAAATCTATAGAAAAATACACGCTTCCAATATTCTGCGCAACAGGATGAACAGTATAATTGCGAATTTAAGAAAAAAACTTAACTATCACAAAGTCAATAACTCTTGATGGTATGTAGANCATAAAACGTTCGCATTTTCTGAAAATAACGCACGTGGTTTTTGCTACGTCGTTTTTGATTGGGAAACGAATCAGAAAAGATTATTTCCGCATTGGCAAGTGCAAAATAAATTTCAAGTTAAACCAGTTTTAATAATAAATTTTAATTTGATGAAATAATCTGAATAAGCGACTCACGTAGTGCAAGGCTCAGTGATATATTTCTCATTGAAGCAATTAAGTAAACAACTGGCAAAATAGAAGACAGCACCAATTTCTGATTTTCTGTTTAGTTTAATGTATTAAAACAAATAGTTAGTAAAACTTTTGCTTCCGATTTTATTTGATTTAAAGCAAATTCTATTATTTTAATATATTTGATAAAGCATCTCTTTTAATTTTTCTCAACAAAACCTTTAAAAGAAGGATTAATATAATTATTTTGCGCTAATTTTATTGTTTGATATTAAAACCGCTAATTTTGAAAGTGTTTTCAAAATTATTTTATTTTAGAAAATAAATGCTATCAAAGTTGTTACATTTGAAACCAATCCATTTTTTTTCCTATTGGAAGTTGTATGGGGCCAGTTCAGACTTGTCCAAACTAACCTCACCACCATGTGTCTACACTAACCACAAGATGACTTGCGTTTGTTTATGGTAAGTACTGGTCATTTGAAGCTATACAGAGAAAATTTTGACATCAAATTAGGTAAAAAGAGCATAATTTATAATAAATTACCCCCTTCTGGAAAAATTCTTAAAATAGAATATTTTAATATAAGAGTGAAAAAAATACTTTTGCGACTTAAAAACATTATTTTGCAACTTCTACTATATCCACAGCATGATTATGTAACTGCTCATAACTGTGTTCATCAGTATTGCTAATCTACGATGTGTTACAGAGAAAATTATGAACAACTAATTATATCCCCTGTATTTGTTGTCCTTTCTGTTTCTCCTGGTTATAAAACTTTTTCTTTTATTTTCTAGTTGCACATATTTTTTTTAAATCTGGTTTGAACCGTTTCACCATTATACTTCAGACTCAGACGAGGTATGTATAACATGCCCTTCTGAAAGATCTGCAGCTTAAGTGTATGTGTTGTATACTTTAGCACTTAAAAATTAAAAGATTTTACCTTCTTAGTATCAAAAATGTATTAATATATTTTAATAACATATCATTTGGTTCTGTTAATGACTCATCAGATTTGCTTTATTTAATCCTAATGATTTCATTAAAATAAGCGTTTTACTGCATGCATATCCAAATTCAATAAACTTACAAATTTAGAACACAAAAACGAAAATTTATTGTTGTAAATGGCGCAACATTCATCAAAAGGCAATAGCCTAAGGAACAACATACGGCAGTAAGGTACCTGGCGTTGTATCTTGCACCAGTTTTCTAAGTATAGTCTAAAGTATTATATTCTTTTAATAAAGAATTCGTTTGCTAAAAATAGATCTATCTATATCAGGCTAATGAAGTTTTACATATTCAATTTCATGCAACATTTTTTATGTCAAATGTATAGAAAAATATTCTGAAAGTACAACTAAGAAATATTTAAGTCTAGAAAAAAACTTAAGTTGTATTAAAAAATCTCGCACGAGCCATTTTGATTACAAAGAATACAATTACAGAGTTGAAATTTCACATATTGAAAAGGTCATTTTCATTTGTGGACTTAAAACTCAGTTTTTTTAACATCTTATCTGTTTGTAAGCCATTGCAATTTGATATTTTTTTGCAAATTTTTCACTTATTTTGCTTAAGGAGAAAATTTATTTTCATCTCGAGTTGTTTTTTATTTCACGTAGAAAACTGCAAACTTACGATGACTATCAATTGATGATTATTGAAAGATTTAATGGCATGTAAAACATATGTTTATGTACACAGTTTCTTGTAGTGTAGACTCTAAAAACACAATTCAAAAAGGAGTATATTTATTAAAAAATTTTTTTAAAAGTTATGAAAGTTTTTAAAACTGCTGCACAAATTAGTGTAATTATAATTGACTGGAGAAATTGTAGATAATTTTTATAGAAGAAAAAAAATAGCTACACCTGGCAGTTACGAATGATATTGGTTTGATTTTACAAAGACAAGCAAAGTTGTCGCTCAGCAGCTGAGAAATTTACGAACCCTAGATGACTTGGGAGTGTCTAAGACAGTGGTCCCCAACCTTTTTGTACCTAAGAGCAAATACCAGAATATCAGTCGAATGGCGGGCACCATTTATTTTTTCAAGATAAATTTATAGTTGGTAGACATAGGTAATAATACACANGTCTAAGATAATAGACGCATTTATTTAAAGTTTTCTAATTGATAACTAAAATCATTGAAGTATAGATAATTTAAAAAATATGTGTTATTACTTGACATAATCCTTGATAGTAAATGAACTTTTCAGCAAGCTAAACCACCAATCTGCACTTTACGTTCCGCAGAAGTGCTTCGTTAAGCTAAGAATATTGAAGTTTTTAAATTGCCATTATTTATTACAAATTCAAGTGAAGAACGGATAATTTTACGGGGAATATCCAAGGTCTTTTAGCGTGGTGGACTTACAAAAAGATAATTATGTTTTAAAAGTTCGTTTTAAACAGGCATTTTATAATTGAGTTTATTTAAAACAGATAATAAGAAACACTGTTAATGTTAAGATAGAAGACTCATTAGTTTTGTTTTATTTATTCATCTTCTGTTATATGGTTATTGCTGGAAAACGAGTTCAAAAGTCGGAAAATACCAGGTGTTTTTAATAATTTAATTATTCTACATTAACTGTATTATATTATGAGTTTTAAGTGAAATCAAACACATTTTCATGAAACGTTAAAATGTTGTTATTTTTTCCTTAAACGCTAGTTGATTCAAATAATCACTGTTACCAACTTAAATATTTATATTTTAACGTCACATGTATTTCTATTTTCCTTCAAGCAAAGCTATACAATATTCTTCAGTCATTCAAAATAGCTATACTCATAAAAACGTTCGCATTATGCTTATAAAATCTGCATTTATAAAAATACTAGCTTAAAAATTAGGTATTTCAATCTAAAAATGCATAAAATTTTATATCAATAAAAGATAAGTCTTAAATCATTTAAATAGACTTGATATAAACTACCAACTCTTAAAATAAACATATAACTTTAATCAGAAATTATGCATTCGACTTTTTTGATCCCTACATCCTCTTTACCCAAGGTACTTTCTTTGAAAACTCAGTTATAATTTTCTTATCTATATAAATACTAAAATGAAAAAGCGAAACCATTTCTAAAGAACCACCAGTCATTTCTGCAATAAATAACGCATCAGGGTTTTCTTCCTCAATAACAGACTGCTAAATTTACCCGTTCTATGAATATGCAGATTGCCCGGCAACCACTTGGGAATGGATTCGAACCCATGCTCTTCATTTTCATTCACCTTTCTACGTTATAATTATTATTCTGAGAGAACCTAATGAATATATAATCAGCTTTCCTTGACTCCTTCTTGAACTAAGGAATTTTTGTTAGAACGTACCTGTTATTACACGCCGCGTTGGGAAAACTGGCATCTCTTCGGTGACAGGTTTTCTAGGTGAGGATGTCGGCAAGTTCAGTCCTGAAAAGCAGTTAAAATAAAATTACGTGAGCTTTCAGTCAAGGGAAGAATGGTTTTCAACCCTATTTAAAATATATTCTGCATAATATCATGGTAGAAATTGAAAATTCCTTTTTGCAATTACATTAATTTCTGAATATTTTAAATAGGAATAAAGCCAGAAAAGTAGTTAAAATACATTTATTTTGGAAGTTTAAATATGATTAATTTGCACTTAGATTAGTTTCATTTGCTGCAAAAAATTCATAGTTTACAATAGAACCATCCACAAAAGAAAGTTCTACAATATTGATAGAGTTATTAATCTATGTAAACATGAGTTTTATTAGTCCTTGGTTCAATTCGATTTAAATAAAGGTAAAAGTTAGTTAAAATATAAAAGTTAAGCATTCTATTACATAGATTAATATTACAGAAATTTGACCACTTGAATTGTTTGAATTGGCGGAAGAAGTAAAATACATTTTAGATTATCACATATAATAAATAATTATATTCGTTGTTATACTTTTTAGAATTTAAAAACAACTGTACAAGAAACATCAACATCATTGTAACAAACAGTAAGCAGTTGTTGAGACATTTCTGTCACATTTTAAACAGTCTTTCTTAATTGCAATAACAAAACAATTTATGCTTATACAACTGATAAAAATAGTTTTTAAAACCATAATATAAAATTTTTCTGCAATGCTACTCGTTAGAAATTTTAACAAGCTCCAATTGCATGAAGAACTGACGTTTCTTTTTTCTTCAAAAAGATCCATTTTCAATTCATTTCTTAATTTTTTTTAAAGATTAATTCGAAATATATCAACCATTTCATTACTAGCCAATGTGCCAACTTTTATAAAATAACTAAAGAATTCACTTACGATTAGAAACTGTCACTGAAAACAATTAAAATACAAATGGGTTACTTGATATTTATACACATTATTTTCTTAATAAAACGTTATTAATATAATTTATAAAATAATACATTTGTCATAATTATATCAAAATCTTTGCATGACTTAAAAAATCTGACTCAGTATTTGATTAAAATTTGTGAATTGACCTAACTGAAACCTTATTTTTTTATATTATTTTATAATTTTTTAATCATGCAGAAAGTGTTTCTTTTAAATAAAAATTTTAGAAAAATTTCTTGTCCAAAAGTACTAAGTAAAATATTAAACCATACTTGATTTACATCAAAACAGTACTGACTGAGTTATAATACGAAATATAGATTGAAAGTAATTAATTAATTATTCAAAAATATTTTATTTTTTGCAACTATGAAATTTTAAAACATATAAGCCAATTCAAACAAAATCATCAGTTTAAAGCCTGGATAAAATTACGCCGGAATAAACTAAAAAAAGTATAACCGTGAAATGAGCTAAATTGTTGATGATATTTAGAATTAGTGTTTTAGATTAAGTTTGTTATATTAAGAACAAATGGTTTTAAAAATACTTTTGGTCAAGTAAAAGATTTTAATATATATTTGAATTCCATTTACCTGTTTGTGATGTTTATTTTTTCACTTTAAAAATTTCATTATTTTTTTTTCATCTTCAATGAAAAAAACGATCTTAAATATTACCACACGTTGTATTAATAAATATATTAACAATACTTTTAAGATTGTCAAATAAGATTGCTAAAGATCGAAAAAACTCTCAGAAATACTTCAACACTTTACTGGATTTTCTTGTGTGTTTCTGTTTCAATATATTATTAGTCATACAGTACTAATAGACAAAACGTTATTTCTCACTTTTATCATAGTAATTAATTCACAATAAAAAATATTTTTATTAATAGCATAAGTATGAAATTGCAGGTTTTTTTTAAGTATCTACTATTTGCTTGTAAGAATTTGTATTCATTTTGGAAATTACTTATTTTCTATCGTTATTAACATAAAACTCATAGTGCTAATGTAAACAATTTCTAACTCATATAAAATAGGCGGGGATGGCCTGGTTGGTAGGGCACTGGCCCCGTATTCAAGAGGCCCAGCTGTTGACACCCCGAGCAGTGAATAGTGAATGATGCACGTTAAATCTGTAGAGCAGTGTTTCCCAAAGTGTGGTACGCTTACACCCAGCGGTACGGGAACAGTTTAGCAGGGGTACGCCTTCCTATGCAAAATAACTTGCAACAAACGAAAATTGCAAAAAACAAAACTAGCCATGGAAATTTACGATTATGTATTTTTCTATGGGCTATTGTTTGCAAAGTTAACAGTTAATACAATTAGTGGTGTCAACAGCCAGTTGTGATTTTTAGCTTTTGTGCAATTTTTGTAGTAAAAAATGCATTCATTTTTTTTAGTGGTACGCAGCGTTACGAAAAATTTGGAAAGGGTACACTAAAGTCATAAGTTTGGGAAACACTGCTTAAGAGTCACAAATTCCTCTCTGTTTACATAACAAATCATACGTCTAGAGGTACTGATCCAGGAGCTTCCTTGTCTTCTGGATAGGTTCAAAATAAAAGGCTACGGAGTTGANCCCAGGGGTACGGGAACAGTTTAGCAGGGGTACGCCTTACTATGCAAAATAACTTGCAACAAACGAAAATTGCAAAAAAAAGTTTTAAACACAAAACTAGCCATGGAAATTTACGATTATTTATTTTTCTATGGGCTATTGTTTGCAAAGTTAACAGTTAATATAATTAGTGGTGTCAACAGCCAGTTGTGATTTTTAACTTTTGTGCAATTTTTGTAGTAAAAAATGCATTCATTTTTTTTAGTGGTACGCAGCGTTACGAAAAATTTGGAAAGGGTACACTAAAGTCATAAGTTTGGGAAACACTGCTTAAGAGTCACAAATTCCTCTCTGTTTACATAACAAATCATACGTCTAGAGGTACTGATCCAGGAGCTTCCTTGTCTTCTGGATAGGTTCAAAATAAAAGGCTACGGAGTTGAACATTAGTAGTCGCAAGCCCGAAATTGGGTCTGCTGTTCAACGACGGTTATAAAATGAAATAACTCATATAAATAATTCTAAAAATATCAAAAAGAGAAACTGAATTTAGAAGCAAATTAAACTGGGAACAAAATTCCTTGTTTTATTTATACAAATACTTGATTAGCCTTATTCGTGTGTGGGAATTTCAAATCCTAAATTAGCTTTGCTTCCAAAGCTACATATTTTTTAATGAAATTTTCACTCTAATTTTATCGAAAAGTAAAAAAAAAAATTAGTTAAAAAATTTAAAAAAAATTTTTTAGTTGTAACAGGGGCACAACAAACTTCTTGAGCAGGTAGGACATATCATCAGAATCAAAACTGCATATTGTTGTATGTGGCTATACGTTATTGACTCTATAGTATTATGATTCTCATTCTTATTATATGCGGCTATAGAATTATGACTCTCTGTATTATGACGCTTATATTAAACGCCTCCCTATTAGAATCATATAAAGTAAACATTTAATAATTGAGAAGTTTTCCTAGTGGCGTATGACGACGTTTCCGGAAATAAATTTACATGCAATTTCAATCCGGATGATGAGCCCTGAATTGCCTATAGCGATTTTGCAACATTTATTCAACCTCCTGTTATTTATTGTTTTTAAAACATGTATAATACACTATTTTCCTATCTGATAATATACAAAAACCGCTTAGGCTATGAGGAGAAGACTGCATTATAAAATACGATGCAGAACAGCCAGTGGATAAAAAAAACTCTAGTTTGGAGATTGAAACATATTGCAAATTCGAAAACAGCAACGTTAAAATTTCCAAGATGCGTTAAAAAATCCCATTGAAGAGAAAACAAAAATTAATTTATGACTCAGTGTTAATTTTCAAATACGATTAACTTAAATTTAATAATCATGAACTATAAACTGGTCAATAAGCCATTGAAAAGTAAAATAGTTTCAAAATATATTTTCAAAAGCAATTCCTGCTACCTACAAGGTTCAGAAATTAATTAAAGAAGTATTAATTTAAGGTAAATGAGTAATTTTTAAAATAAAATTTCTCATCGAAAATATTGAATTCACTTAAGACTACTACGTGTACCATCGATGACTAAGGCAAATGATAAATATATAGCATATTTTAATTTGACAATATTTATCTTTGAATCTATAAAAAAGATGCCATCAATTCAAATCTCTGCTTTTCTAAGATAGATACAAACATTTATCGCAGCTTGAAACAAGCAATTGCATTCTAAATAAATACTAAGAAAAAAATTGATTTAATGTATTGCTTTACGTGTAGAAATTTTTTTAAAGTAGTATACGTAAGATTTAAAATAACTTTAAGATGTGTAGCTTTCTCAAACATATATAATCTCTTTTAAAAAAATGAAAAATTCCTAAATGAGTACAAATTCAGGAATAACCGAATTTGAGTGACATGCAGTCAAATTATTCACTCGAAATATTTGAAATAATAAATTAAATTATTCAATAAATTTTTCCCCTATTACTAAGATAAAAAGTTAAGGAAAATTTATGTAATATTTAAAAAAGCAAAACAGAGCAAGATGTATACATACAACACAATAAAGAAACGAAAAGTAAAAAAAAAAAGAAAAATAATAATTTTAAATAGAAAAAGAAAACTTATTAGAAAATAAGTCATTTATTAAAAAAAATTTACACACATATTTCTTTTTAAAGTAGCTTAATTAAGGAACACTTTAAAATTTTTTTCCATTAAAATAAAATAATTAATATTTAAGAATTTAGGAACCAAAAATAAATTGGATAAAATATTTTAAAATATTACGTAGCTTTTTTTTAACAAAAGAATTATAAGAATAAAAACTTAATATTACTAAAAGTTATGGAAGAACTAGGAGATCTTTAATAATTGAAAGTTATTTAAAAAACACCAGAATGTAAAATACTGCTTAAATTTCATATAAATTTGCTGTGTATCGCATGTTTTTTCAATCTACATATATA